ACTGTAAAATTGCATAATTACTAGAAGAGCCTGTTAACTCATTTGCACAAGGATGTTCAAAATACTGGGAAAGTTCCCAAAACGGCAAAATAAATCACCCTGCATTCCGAGAAGAACTGCACTGATTTGGGTCGGTTCTATGCAACATCTTAGCCTGTGTTGGGGGGTGGGGGGTGGTTAACAAAACAGGACCGTGTAGGAAACCACAGGGAGGGGTCTCTGGATACTTTGTGAAGTGCAATTCAAGCCACTTTGAGGGTGCTGCTTCCTGCTAGAAAGGACCAACTTTCTATGATCCCTCTATCATTAGCCTCCTATAAACCTGACTTTATTTCAAATAGTCACCAGCTCAGCCACAGTGAAAAAGCTGGGGGGGGGGGCGAGGGGGGACAGCAGGGAGAATCCTCTGGACTGATACATTCATGGAAGTTTGTGGTGCTCTGCTGCTTATTCACACCATGAAGCACCTCTTGGCAGAACTCGTCATTCTGGGCATGGGGCATGCACTCCACTAGGAGACTGGCAACCACCCCTTCTTAGGGGTCCCTCAGATATCTACTGGGGAACCCCCCCCCCTTCTTTTATTCCAGTGCAACAAGGTCTGCCCACCACTTCCAGATGCTATGTAATACTTGTTGCTGTCAGGACAGAAGGCCACCCCCTAGGATGGAAGGAAGGACAGAGGAGACCTCAGCCCCCCGAGACCCCATCATGGAGATCACACACAACCATGACACAGATGCAGCCTTTTCACAATGTATTGACTGGTAGATGCCCTCGAGACCCCCTCAGGCCTCCTCAGTACCCTGCATCAAGCCAACTCCCCAGCCGCCTTTTTCGGGCAGAAATGGGGAGAGTCAAAGAAGGCAGCAACTGCTCAGAGCTGTTGTATACCACACATGCAAAACGTTCTCTTTAAAATAATCAGATAATTGTGGAATTATAACGGGGCTGAGGCAGCCATACGAGGTAACTCTGGTTCAGTGGTGCGTGCTCTGTCTCCCCTTTTCTTTCTCGGTCACTCTCCCAGTTTAGCTTATGCTTACTTCTGTATCTGGAATATAAAGAGACGTAGGTTGATGTTCTTGGCGGCCAGCAATTTGTTACATTCCACCGAGTCTATGATGGGGAGCGGCATGTAGTCCGTTTCGTTATTCTCGTTGGAGAAGACAAAGTGATAGATCACCGGGTTGATTTTCACGTCATCGTAAGGTCCCTTGAGCAGCAGGAACGAACACTCCATGGGGGAGCTGATCTTACTCTTGAGAATAAGCTGGAAAGAGAGGGTGCGCTTACAGGACAAGTTGGGGTTACGCTCCGAGTCGTTAACCCGGGCCTTCAATACCCATGTCTGGTTCAGCACGGTAAACCTGGGCGTTTCGTAGTAAAGGCGTGTGATGAAGTCATCGGTTCGGTAAGGACGAAACTGAACCTCTGCAAGACAGCAAGAAGGAGGGGTTGGGGGCAGAAAAAAAAAAGGAAAAGCACAATTAAACAAGAGAAACCAGAAGCAGGAAGAAACAAAGCTCAAGTTACCTGTAACTACTGTGTGTGGCCTTCTTTGCCAGGACGTAAGGAGACAAGGGTGAGAGTAGCCATTCAGAGCTAGTTAGGGGCAGAAGCAATTTGGCTTTGTGGAAGGGGGAGGAGGAGGAGGAGGAGGAGGAGGAGGAGGAGAAAAGCAGATAAAATCAATACATTTTATCACTGCAAAACCACAACACAGTTTCATCATTGCTGAAGATTTGTGGAGAGAGAAAAGCAACAGGAAAGCCCAGATTACGGTTAATACAACCACTGCAAACGCAAAGGAGCCCGCCCGTCTGCAGCAACGGTGCCTCTGCCATAGGACGCCTCAGCGACATTACAAGAAGCCAATCTGAGACTCAGGGACAGGTTAGGTCTAGAAGCAGGATGGCCGCTACCCTGCGTTCTCTCATCCCAAAGGGGCGGAAGAAGTTCTCCTCGGGGGGGGGGGGCGTCTTCAGTCTTCCGGCCTCATCCAACATCAAGGCTGCTGCAGCCTCGGGGCTACGTATGGAGCGGGTCCTCTGCGGCCACCAGCGGCAGCTTGCCATGCCCCATGGCGTCCCAGCCAAGGCCAGACCTTCTGGGACAGCAGCTCGGAGGCCTCTTCAAGCACCCTCTTCAGCATTCCTCGAGGGACCGAAGAGCAGTCAAATGGATGCCTCCCATTCAACAAGGCAGATGGCTCCCTTGCAGGTGCCCAGACCAAGAGAGGTGTGCATAAAAACCAAATCAGACAAGACAAGTCAGGGAGCATGGCACCTTTATTTTATTAGTATTCACAATACAGATCTTTAGATGAGAAGGCACAGTTAGGTATCATCACAATGCAAACCCAGAATAGGTGGCTGGAGAAGCGACTTTCAATTTTAACAGGGCAGAACAGCCCAGGGTTGGGTACATGAAGACAAAGAACAGTACACTGAATCATTCGAGACTTTGTCCAGTTTTAGACCCAAATGGTTTAGCACAGTCCAGTGTCAGTCTGTTAAACCCTTGAGTCCACAGTGCAACAAAGCGTTTTGTTTTATTCAAGTTTATCAAGAATGTTGGCTCAGTATTTTAAAGTCTTTGGTGTACAAAACCAATGGAGTCTCACAGCACAAACTCAGGGACAGGGCACCTCTGTGGGCATGTTTGGCTTCTTCGGTGTTTCCAGAGGACCACTAGGAGGGCACAGCAGCAAGACCTGGACAAAGGAGGCGATGGAGTTATTCAAGCCACACAATCAGCCCGACTCAGCACTTTTGTTCTTTCCACGTTAAGCAGCAGCACCTGCCTCTCTGGCTAGAGGCCATCGCTTTTCTAGAGCAGAGGAAGGTCTCCGCCTCTCTTCTCTTGCAGGCAGAGCTGCACAGTGTTTGAGAACACCGGATGGGTGAACGCCACCCCCCGCTTCCGACTTTCAACCTATGCAGGTTGCACCCCACTCCACCCCCACCCCTCAGCACTGCGGCGAGGGTGCTGCCTGGCTCCGCAGGAGAGCCGTGTCCTTAGTGCGTTCAGATCTGGCAGCATCAGGACGTCCTACTGGACTGCTTGCCACCCCAATTCCAGCTCTGTGACCAGGCACCCAACGGCAGCAATGAACTTTTCAGCAGAGAGGCAGAGGGTCACCTTCCTTCACAGCCGGAGTTCACCAGGACTCCATTTTGTTTGCTTTTTAAGCTCTAAGCACCTTCTTTAACTTGGCTAAGAAACACGGTCATGATCTGAGGCTCCAGCATTTGTTGGGTCGGAGAGCAGATTATATCCAAGAAGACTCTTTCTGTAGAAAATGTGAATATTTATAGGAAAGGAAAGGAGATTTCAGCATCTATTTTCCTCCCGCTTTCAAGAAACCCCACAGCCATTAACAGTGCCTTTTCCATGCAATTCTGCTGAACCTGCTTTGAGCCTCCTTCAAGATTCAGAGAAGGAGAGTCACAAGCTTACCTGCAAAAGCAATTTAGATCCATCAGGCTAAACCGACATTTGTTTCCTTTCCCACCCTGAGTATTTACATTTCTTACACTGAATACATGCACGGGTTGGTAGCTTTGTGTACTAGGTCATGAAAACCAGAAAAGCTTTTCATACTAGAAAATTACAGGCTGTTTGAAGTTCCAGGGGAGGCAAAACCCACCGCACACTTTCAGAATACCTACAGCAACCAAGAGAGCAATCACCCTACTGGACAGCATCTAAGCAAGAAATGCTAAAATATTTCATCCCACAATAAAGGACTTTTACATAAAGCTCATCAACACACTATTAAAACACCAGAATTCCAAACTAGAGAAAACTCAATATTTAGTAGACACGGAAATAGAGAAAGGAGCACAACCAACACTGATCTTAATTGTGAGTCTGTATCCTTTTCTGTTAGCCACCAAACACAACTGCAACACCTTACCTGCATTTAGGAAAGATCCTCCTTCCATATGACACCAGTGCTCCCCAGCAGGGTAATCAGCAGAAGGAAGAACATTTAAGAACCGTTCAGCTCTGCTCAAGCAGCCTCAGTTGTGCGACAGACCTTGCCATTCCCTACCGCTCTCCGCCCCCACCCTGCCCAAATCCCCTGGTGCAATATGTGCAGGTAAACCACGGGCCTCCCTTAAGCTTGGATTTTCAAACCAAACAGAGAAATCTCCAGGAATGAACGTTTGGGGAAGTGGCCCTGTCTGACTCTTCTGAGCAACAGTTGCTGCATGTTAGGTAAGGGAAACAAGTTAACCAACAGATACCACTGAAACAAGACGTGAAGAGGAAGACAAGGCACAAGAGTCGCCCCATCAGCACTTCTGTCCCAAGCCAGGCCAGTCCCAATAGTTACCTGTGTATCCAATCTTCTCAAAGCTGAGCAGGCCAAAGATGCTGTTGTAGAGCTGCATTTCCTTTCTATGCGTTTGGTCCATTTCATCCAGAATCTCCATTAGCTCATTCCCCGTCTTCGTCGGGTGCGTGCACTCCGCTTCGTGGACAGTCAGCTCGTGGTATGGGCCCTGCCATGGGCACCCAATCCGCTTGTACTTGCACTGAGTCACCCTGCAGATTGAAAGTGGGGCAGACCTCCAATGAGTGGGAAGCAAGGGCCAGATGACAGAGGCAGCACGGGGCTCCGAGACTGTAGTGCAGCCAGGACGGGACAGGGCCATGCTGATCTCTCAGCCTGAAGAGGCACAACTGCCAGATTTACTTTTCTGCCAGGGAGACAATTCGCTCCGTGAAAGAAATTAGAAGACCATCTAATCTTACTACAGATAAGAGCCAACGTTCATTTAAACTAAATAGAATGTATCTGATTCTTTTTCACAGAAGCTGTCGAAGCCCACAATCACATTCTTACATGCACCCCCCCTTCCAATTCTGGTATATATTATATGAAGTCAGCCTCCCCTTTGCCTGTCCTGAACCTGCTGTCAGTTTCAATGGGTGGCCTCCATGCATTTCTAAAAGCACTAAGACTGCTTTAGAAATCTGTTTTATGTTTCACATTTAAAGGGAGAAACCTGTCAACAAAAGAGCTGCCCAGCTTCAGCCCTGCTTTCTAGATGCACCGTATGGCATTATGATGATACTAACAGTATCCTAATTGTCAAATCCTTTTCTAATAAGAATAACAGCTGTCATATTCACTAGCGTAATTAGCAGAAACTTGCAAGAAATGTTTGATCACCCTAAGGCAGCTCCCCTTACTTGTATAACCAAGAATATAATATGGGAAGATTTTTTTAAACATACTCTACCATCTCTGGATTTAACTCTGGATTCAAGAAACTGAACTATTTCTTCATCAATCGCATCACATCAGGCAACCCCCACCGCAATTCCCCTCTGAACTTCTCCCTCGGCCCAGCTCTGTTGCTGGCTAGATGTCACTACCACCAGCGCTCCAGAATCTGCCTATTCCCAGAAGTAAAGGTGACCTTCCCTGCTCGAGGGTCTCTTAAAGTGTTGAGCTACACCTTCCAGAATCCCAAGAAATGTCACCCTCAGGCTGGCTGGGAACTCTGGGAGTTGTAGTCCACTGTGAGAGAGACAGGGCTGAGAAAGGCAGCTCCAGTGGTTCTGCCTTCGATTCAGCTGTAGCACCATAACAAAGAGCAACCCACGCCATTTACCTGTCCTGGCATTCTTCTTTCTGGTGCCTTTCCAGAAGAGAGCGAGGGAACTGCCTCATGCAGAAACCACACTCTGAGGGCAGTTCGCTCACTGCTTTTTCTACAGCGAGATTTCGGCAGCAAAGGCTCTTGCTGATCTCGCAGCGACAATTGGGACAGGTAGCCTGTTCCTCCTTCAGCCGGGCATCTGCCAGTAGGTGAATGAAACATCCAGCACACATCAAGTGACCATTTGTACACTGTGAGAAAAAGGAAATTAGAACTTCAGAGGCCTTCTGCCACAGACAGTGTTGAAGAGCTGCCCTGTGGTCTGCATTACATATGCATTTTAGCTACCTTCAAAAGGTTCACCGCTGCCCTCCACAGGATTCTCATGCTGCATTTGTTTGATAAAGGCCTTTATTGCACTCCTGGACACAGTTACAAAAAGAAGATGGCGCCTCTTCCAGTGAGAAACAGCATGAACAGAGAAATAATTCAGAATTCTGCCCACCTCTGCATAAGCATTCAAAACATTCTGGCTTAATACCCAGACCTGATGCAAACTCAAGGGACCAGAACCCAAGCTGTTCAAAAGCAGGCACCAGAGCAGCATTATGCCCAACCCTGAAGGCCTAGACTGTCCAAGAACTCAGGAACATGGAGAGATTTTTTTGCAGGTCATAGAAGACAAAGATGACAAAACATTATTTTGAAGAGCTTATACTATCAAAACAGTCAGCAGTTTCAAGCTAAGAAAATCTGCTGTCAAGGAAAGGCATCCAATCATTGGATTATTGTGTTTCAACAGGTGGAACTTAATTAGAATCATGGAATGTGGAGCAAGGAACCACCTAGAGAAGTCCCAAAAATTCCATATTCAAAAACATATCTATAATAGCCAACTGCAACGGAATTTCATTTTATTATGCACTTGGTGTATGGTGTATAGTGGAATGACAATAAAGTTATTATTCTATTCTATTCTATTTTGAATCAAGTTCAACTCATCACATAGTTTTCTGGTGGACAATACAGAAGTGGTTTACGATTGTCCTCTTCTACAATGTTTTTTCAAGTTCCCAGTCTAGCCTGTATCAACCAAGGCTGATCCTGTTCAGCTTTTCAAGACCAGCCAAAGTCACTTATATCCTGCCATTTAAATAAATGTAAAATCATGCACGTTAGGGGGGGAAAAAACCCCTCTAGCTTTACATATACACCGATGTGAACTGAGTTGTCTGTAGCTATGCAGGAAAAAGTGTCAACGGGCATATTGATGGAAGTGACCCTATCAACACTATGCATGGATTTTCAAAAAGCCTTGATCCATCCTTTTAAGGATTGCTAATTGGTTAAAAACAGAAAACAAAGAGTAGGAATAAACGGGCAATCTTCTTAATGGAAGGAAATAAGAAATGGAGCTCCTCAAAGTCCTGTGTTCATAAGTGATCTCATTAAGCAGTAAGATACTGAGTAATTAAAAACATTCAACCTCCAAGGACCAATCCACCCATCCGTGTAACCCCACGGTGCCATCCCTGAGGATAGCCTAAACCTCCCCATCCCCAAAGCATTCCTGAACAGCCAAGTCTTGATGCCCTCTGGGAAGCTCAATAAGATGAAGGAGGACGGATATCAGGGACAGGCTCTTCCACAGGAGGCTTGCCCCCCACATCTTGTGGAGAAGGCTTGCCCCTACATCTTGTGGACGGCAGTCCCTCCAGTAAGGGACCCTCAGCAGGTCCTCTTGGGGAGAATGACAGCTGCTCTCTTGGACAACTTTGAAAGTGTATTGGACAAATTCATGAAAGGCACTTGAAGGGGGAGCTTTGGGTTGCAAGCTGCGTGCCTCCAAATAGCCACAGGAGAGGTGACATCTCCCTCTTCTTCTTCTTGCAAGCATCCAGAGGCATCTGGTTGGCCGCTGGGAGAAACAAAATGCCAGATTCCAATGGGCCTTTGCCTGATCCAGCAAGGTCATTCTTCAATCCTTTACTTTCTAATATCACTCTACCAGCAAAAGACCTTTTTAGCCTTCTGGCTGGTCAGGAAACAGAGCTGCAGCCTAACCTGGAAAAGGTTACCCAACTTTGCTCCAAGGTGTCAGTCAAGGATAGTCAGGAATTCTGGGCACTGTAGTCTTCATGTATCTAAAGGGCAGCAGGTTGGGAAGATTTTACCCATCTGCTGACCAGTTGAAACCAACATTAATGATAATGCAGAAACCTTTCCCCCACCATTCTCTGCAAATGATGCACAGAATGGCATGTTTGGTCAGTCCACACATAAACAGACAAATTTCACCTCTCCTTTGCTACTGTAGTGCTACACCAACAATGCACCTAAGTATTTATTTCCTATCCCTAATGTACTTCCCAATGAGGAACAGAATCTAGAAGGTCCACATTCCTGCGGAACTGGCTCTTTCTGCAGTGTTTAAGAAACAAAGGCAGGCCTGTGGCCTTGAAAGGACTGTGTTCCATTGCATCTAGCAGACACGTCCAACCCTTCATTTGTGAAAGTCTTCCTGAGAGAGAGGTAGTTGATTTGGGAAACAAGAGACCAGCTTTTCTTGTTTTCTCTAAGTCGAAATAGCACATGGAGCTTCATACCTTAATTGTGCAGAAAAGCAGAACCTTTATATTCAGGTATAAACCCAGGGAGTGGCCTTTGCCTGATGCAGCACTAGCCAGTCCAAATCTTTGAACCAGAACTATCCCAAACTTTTAGCTGCTAACTGGATGAGGGGAACTGCGACAAAGGAGGCAAAGCAAGGGCAATTTTGTCCTGCACGCTGTGCAGTTCAGGGCAGCTCTATATGAATCCCAGACTGAAAAAAATGCAAGCACTTGGGTGACAGCAATTAGTCACAAGAGGAAAAGAGGAAAAGAACATCCTGCCTCTCCACCATCCCAGCATTTGCTTCCACACTCAGTTGCCTGTTGAAGACTTGTGCGCATTCCTAAAGGGATCCCAGGTATGTCACACCCTCTGACACCATGGAAGAATAAAATAAAATAAAATAAAATAAAATAAAATAAAATAAAATAAAATAAAATAAAAT